TTGATATGGTCTTAAAAAACGCTACTTATATGGGTAATCGTCGTCAATTTCGCAGCTACCCGTTTCGAACTGACCTGATTCCGTGCGAGTAGTGCTTGCTTGGGTTAGCGGAAGGAAAAGAGTGTAGTGGTAGTCATGTGAGGCCTGTCGTAGGCAGCTAGCGTTCGCTACACTCCTTCTGAGGGAGCAAGGGCAGTTTACTGTTAAAGGTGGACGAAAATGGAGGCAACATGAAACCGTGTGAACTGAGCAGTTCAGATTTACTTGTGTGACTGGTTTGCCCCGAGAAAATGCGTGACCTTTTCTGACCATAACGGAAATTAGAATATGAGGCACCAACATTCAACGACTTCGGTTGATTTCAGAAAAGAAAAAGGGGTATTTCCGTTCCGATATCCAACACGGCTCCGTAGTACTTGTAGGTGACAACAGCAATCAATAATGAAAAGTACTACCGAGAAAGAAGAGCATACTGTCTAATCATTCATAGTTTAGTTACATTTGCCAGCCAAACTGCAAACAACTCGGTAAGACCTGTAATTTGATTTCTCGAGTAGTTGCGCATGGAGCTTATGTTCCTACGACTTCAGTCACGGGCTCAAGTTATGTTAGGTACGTCAGAGGATTTCTAAGGTCAAGAGGGAGTAACTTCCCCTGCTAATATCCTAGTGCAGGGTTAAATGCATACGTTCGCTATCGTCCTGGCCGGCGAAGAAAACTAAGCCAAAAATGACTTAAACGTACTGCCAAAAAGAACAAAACTCACCGTTTGCTCGCTGAATCTCTTGTTCGTAGCGTCTGGAGGCAGCTTCAGCAGCTTCAGCCCGCACAAGGGCCTTGGACGAGACGGTGTGAAGGGACCAGTGTCATGCGGGGAGGAACGTGCAGAAGAAGCAAATCCGAGAAGACAGAGATGCAGGCAATCGAGGCAGAAGGGCAGAAAACTCAAAATGAGCAAATGCAGCACGCAAAGGTATAATAAACAAGAAAAAAAACTACTAAAATAAGGAAAGAGTGGACAAACCCTCGAGCCGATCAACTTCGTTCTGCAGCTTAGAGACCTGGCGGTCGGCCTCAGCAGCTCGCTGTTCGGCCTGATATTAAAATTGACAATTAGCGCATTAGGCGAAGTTCGGAATGGGTCGATTCTACATGCGTAGCGAGGCGGGCGAAAGGCAGGCACGGGCTATTCAGTAGGGGCATGCGCAACGGACGTGCCTATATGCGGAGCCTCGAGCATGGCCAAGAAAAAAGGTTGCCGCAACGTGCTATGGGCGAAAACAGACCCGAATATGGTGTGTGTGCGCGCGCGCGCTATAGAGACGCAAAATACCGACTCCCTACCCATAGCATAGTAAACCGTAAAAACG